TGTAGTGCAGGTCCCTCAATCAGCCAATTGGAAGGTAACATTGAAATATTGGAGGGCACGGAATGATGTAGGTGTCTTTAAGGTGGCAGAAGAGGAGAGCAGCAATCTCCTCTGCAGCAAGGAAGTCACCATGGCAACCCAGACACAGCCCACCTCCAGGCACCTGTCAACACAGCACTGTGAAGAAACAGGGTGTGGAAGATATACTTTCGTAAGTGGGAAGGAGGGAGACAAAACCAAAGGAGCAAGCAAGCAAAACACTGCGAGCAGAGCACAATCATCACATTGCCCCTGGAACTCCTCCCACTACCCCCCACATATCAGAGACTGCTGGGCTGTATTAGCTTGATTTTACCTTTACCTAAATTTCATTTAGTCCTGTCAAATTGTCACCATGGCAGATAGTACCCTGGGCATGTCATGTGGAAGCTTATAGTTTTGGTGTCTTAGTGAATCATCCTAAGAGCTATCCTGTCTAGGACTGTGGTCTCTGGTAGATTCAACCATATGCATGTGATGATGGACAAGGGAAGGAGGCCTAATAAGGACAATTCCTGGCCACCCGGGTTTGCTTTTGGCCATAGGACAACCCCACCTTGACCCCATCTTGTAAAATCCCAAACAATTGCAGAAACCCCCAAGCGGTCCTTGTGCCATACTATACAAAGAGGCACAAATAATATAAAACCGGATATCCAAACCTCCTTCGTGGTTGTGATTTTCTTTGTTTTAACTTGCAAGTGGGGTGGGTGTGGCAGCAGCAGCATTTACAGTGGTGATGCAACCCTCTGGAGTAACACAAGGGTTAGTGGCAGCAAAGGCAAGATTGGCCAAACAGGGCCTCACAATACCACGCCTGGAGCTAGTCGCCAGTCTCATGGCCGCAAACTTAGCCACTAACATAAACGAAATATTGGAAGGTCATCCAGTCGATCAAGTTTACTGTTGGTTAGACAGTACCGTCACTCTATTACATTATTAGTTTGAGAAGTAACTGTAATGAACTCTTCTTTCCAGTACTTAAGTTATGGTTCTTTTTACCCTCATGCATGTATTGTCTACTTTTAGGTATCCCATGGTCCTTTTTGACCTGTTATGATATTGCATTGTTCCTCTCCATTCCTTCTGTCATCATTTTCTTTCTTGTTTTGAGGAGAGAGTTTCTCAGACTAGATCAGGTGAGAGCCGTTCTAAAATGCTTAATACATAGTGATGTGCTTAATTTATAAATAAGACTGAAGACAGAGAACAGATCCCAGACCATTTAAAAGTTAATAATAGTTTGATTATTGTAATGTTCAGTGGTATTTTGTATGAGTACAGACATGCACATTGCACAATGACTGGATAGCCATGTTGGAATAAAACTTGGATTTTTTTTTCTAAAGCTTCCTTTAACTGAACCATCATGCTCTTACAACAAGAATATTACAATTATCAGGGACCATTTTTTGGTATATAAAAAACCTGTCTAACTGGCTCTTACTTGGTGTAGAAGACAGTCAATGTAAAATAATAGACAACAAGAGAATGCTATGAAGGAGCTGTCTGACTTTCTGATTGGATTGAACAAAGATGACCTTTTCCAATAAAAATGGGGTTTTGTGTACACCGTTCGTCAGTTGTTGATTAACTGGCCAGTCAAGTTGTTATTTTGGCAGTAGGTATCCGATTAGTGGTCATTGCTGTTGTAGAGCGGTGGCTGTTGTAGAGAGGTCAAAGTAAGAGTGAATGTATGGACCAGCTGTTGGGACAAAACATAGGCACGCTATGCGTGCAAGAGTTATTTTTTTTTGTGAACTAAACGTCTGAGATAGGAGCATTCATAGAATTGTTTACAGTAACGATGTGGTTAATTAGACAAGTGTTTTTGGTTGCAATGTACAGCAAGAAAGAAACAGGGAATTTATGATGTACATATGATGTTACATCGGTAATGGTAAGATAACTAAATAGAAAGCCATATAATGTTTGACTGAACAAATTACAGTAATCTGACACGTCTCCAGATTAATGTAGATACCATCTTATTTTCTAACAGGCAATTTGATTTGCTCTTTGATACAACCCGCACTGTGATTGGTGTGACA